CATGTTGCCTCAACATGCATTTTTAAAGGTGTACATTTAATTTCCTCATCTCAGAGGCAGAACTTGGTCACCATGACAGAGTCTTAAATACTGTACCCAGTCCAAATGACTCCATCTGGTGGCCAGAGATAAAATCTTGGAGGCATCTCTCCTGCTTAGTGTGCTGGGCTCCCCTCTCTCCAGCTGCTTCCTTTCAACGGACAGTTCTGACATTTGCCCTCAAATTTAAAGTGACCACCTTTCAGTCACAGCGTGATCTCCATGCCCCAGTGTTTACTTGCTTTAAACACATCCATTAAAGCTCCCTGCTGGACACCTGTCAGATAACACCCTGGACCCGAAAAAGCCAACAGGTCCCTTCTCTCCTTTCTGTCTGGGCTTTCTAGAGTCTGTATCTGTTGTGTCGAGGTTGGCATGTGCTCGCCAGTGTAAGTAGTAAAAACACTTACGATTTCACATTTTGGTTATATCACTGAAGCCTCACCTGACATCCAGGTCCTAACATCAAGGAGGCCCCATGGGATCCTTGAAGGTTGAGGCCCTGCTGGAGCTCTTTTCTTGGGGCCTCTGGTGCTGCTGCAGACAAGAGCTGCCAGCTAAGTTAATGAAGAAACTGAAGAGTTTCATTCAAAACAAGGGTCAGACAGTATATTCCTGGGCTTGAGCTGTTATAACAAACACTGTCGCCTTGGTGACTTAAACAGTAGAAATCTATTTATCACAGTTCTGGAGGCTGGAAAGTCCAAAGTCCAGGTGCCAGCTGATTCAGTCCTGGCTAGGGCTTTCCGGCAGGTGCCTGTTTTCTTAATGTATCTACAAATGGTGAAGGGCTGGGAGGGGGAGAAAAGACAGAGAAAATGAGAGAGACGATTCTCCTGTGTCTGTTTTTATAAAGGCATTAATTCCATCATGAAGCCCCCACCTTTGTCATAATCTCAAAGTCATTTGCTTTCTTTGAGTATGCACACGTGTATGTGTATGTGTTGAATATTTATCAATTAAGTAAAATTTCAAAATAGGGGGCCAGAAATGGTGGTTCATGCGTGTAATCCCAACACTTTAGGAGGGCTAGGTGGGGCTTGAGCCCAGGAGTTGCAGACCAGACTGGGCAATATGATGAACTCTTTTATCTACTAAAAATAGTTTTAAAATATATAGCTGGGTATGGTGACACACACCTGTAGTCCTAGCTACTCGGGAGACTGAGGTGAGAGGATCACCTGAGCCCAGAAAGTCCAGGTTGTAGTGAGCCATGATTACACTCCTACACTACATCCTAAGAAACAGAAGTGAGACATTGTCTCAAAAAAAATTTAAGGGCCTAGCGTGGTGGCTCACGCCTGTAATTCCAGCACTTTGGGAGGCTGAGGTGGGCAGATCACGAGGTCAGGAGTTCGAGACCAGCCTGGCCAGCATGGTGAAACCCCATCTCTACTAAAAATACAAAAAATTAGCCGGGCATGGTGGCTCATGCCTGTAGTCCTAGCTACTCAGGAGGCTGAGGCAGGAGAATTGCTTGAACCCGGCAGGCAGAGGTTGCAGTGAGCCAAGATCGCGCCACTGCACTCCAGCCTGGGCGACAGAGTGAGACTCTGTCTCAAAAAAAAAACAGAAAAAGAAAGAAATGAACCACAGCGCTTCCCAGTAAATCACTCCGATGGAATTGCAAAATGTTATTCTCAATAACTCCTGGATGAATATACTTAGAAATGAACAAATGTAAGAGAGTCCATGTTTCAAATCCAGTGCATTATTTTATGGAGCTTTTCACAAGCTCCAAAAGATTCACAGTGCAGAACTGGAGGTTCTAGAGAAATTCCGCGCCTCCTCCTGCAGGTAACTCTTATCATTCGGAAAGCAGCTCTTGGCTCATCCCTGGGTCCGGGGCAATCAAGTTCAGGTCCTGGTGCTCTCTGAGCTACCAAACCATAACCTGAGGTATGCACAGCAGCCTCCAGCATCCACAGGAGAGCTGAGCATGGGGTCAGGCTCAAGCAGGTCCAAGGCCAGCAAGTGACTCAGGCTCCCATGGCACCTCTCCTCCTGCCCCTCCCTCTACCACATCTGTGAGCTCCTGGGAAGCCCCATGACCTCATACAGAGGAGGAAACTGCAGACCAGGCTTATGGATGGGTCCTCACGGTGAGCTGGCACCCAGCAGAAGTGGACGGTGGCTGCCTTAGTGCCCACTTCAGGTGGTCCTGAGGAGTGACGTAGGGAAATCCTTCAGATGGGCAGAGCCTCAGGGGTTCTGCAAGGAGGGATGGACTTGGGTCCATTGCATGAACCCAGAGTGGGCCACATGGTCAAGGACTTGAAGAGAATAAAAGAGTAAAATTAAGACAGGGAGAAGACATGGATGTTCCTCTGGGGATGGGCACAAAGTGTGAGCTATGCCGTCCCCACCCTTAAGCCCAGAACCTGTGCTGTTAGGATGAGGTTCTTGGTGTTTGGTGGACAGTGTCAGGCAGACTGTGTCCCTCAGAGCTTGCTCAGGGGGTCCAGGCACAGATGGCCACATGGACAGGGAGGACGGCGATGTACCTTACCACAAGTGGACTGAGTCTCCCAGCACTGGCCTGGCTGCACACTGTACCCAGCCCCGCCCAGTGTAGGCACAGCCCAGGGCTAAGACCCTGGAAGGTGTCATTTTACAGGAGGACTACCTGACCACTATGGATAGGCTGGCCACACAGGACACATCCCATCCTGGAGGGGACTGGGCTTTGTCCTCACAGGGATACACACACACTGAGGGTTCCAACTGGACATCCCTGGACCCTGCTCAGTGCTTCCGTGAACAGGGCCTTTCCTGTGGCTCTGGAACCTATGCAGGATTATTTCCACTGGGGGACACATCTTAACGCAAAGAATGGGAGGTAATTAACTCACACCCATGGAACCCACTGACCGTCTCAGGTGCCCCATGACACGGAGACAGCTGCTTCTCAGAATGGCGCAATGGCTCGTGTGTGGCTTATCAGGGCACCAGGAGGGAGACTGTAGCCCGTCACCCCACAGGAGATGCCACACATATTATAAACCAGCAGCCAGGCCATCAGGTCACTTTTCCCAGGGCCAGATGCAAAGATCCAGGCAAGACAGGAAGAATAAGGGTGGGTCCCTCCCATGATTGCATCTGCCAGCCCACTGAGAGAATGCTTGCTCCTTGTCCCCATGGCCCTGGGCTGCTGTGGATGAGGAATCTCTTCCTAGTTCTGATCTGTGGGAAGCCATGACAGCCCTCCAGCCATCCTGTGCCCCTCGTGCTGCCAAAACAGCAGGCAAAGGAGAGGTCTCTCTGCAGTCGGGGGAACGGCATCTGATTACAGAGGGAGGTCAGGTGGCTGGGACAAGGAGGCTATTTTTGAAGGCAGGCAACTCATGGGGGTAACATTTCCTTGGCCAGGGCCCTGTTCCATGGAAAACTATAGAAACTCACTAAAGACAAGGCCATCCAAGACTAATTCTCCATAAGAACCAAGATTTGGGTTACATTGCAGGTAACAAATAACATCCAAAGGAGGTTTTGGAGGTGGGAAGACAATGTGGAATGTACTAGAAGAAAGCAGCTCTGAGCACCAGCAGCCCTGTCCCCAGGACCTCAGCAGCTGTGTTGGAAGCCATCCCCTCCCCATCTTCCTCTCATTGTGGGCGAAGAACTGGTGCCCAGCATAATGGGAGGAGGGCATCATTGTCATCATCACACACACTGTTGCTGTGACAGAGGAAAGGACTGGAATTGTGTGTCATCTGCACGGAGGACTCTGATTTTTTCCCCCTTGAGACAGGATCTCACTCTGTCACCCAGGCTGGAGTTGACAGTTGCACAGTCTTGGCTCACTGCACCCTTGACCTCCTGGTTTCAGATGATCCTCCTCCCTCAGCCTTCTGAGTAGCTGGGACCACAGACGTGCACCACCACAACAGGTAAATTTTTTGTATTTTTTGTAGAGAAGTGGTTTCACTATGTTGCCCAGGCTGGTTTCAAACTCCTGGGCTCAAGTGATCCTCCCACCTCGGCTTCCCAAAGTGCTGACATTACAGGCGCAAGCCACCGCGCCCGGCTTGGACTCTGATTTACATCTGGACAAAGGGAAAGGGTGGATGCTGTAGAGGCAAGGGAGTGAATGGTACTAGACATGTTCTGTTTCCTTCTCCAGCTTCACTCTCTTCTCCTCTTCCCTCCCCTCTTCTCTGTTCTCTACTGTGAATGGTAGATCTATGGGGGCTGGATCAGTGGAGTCTCCTGCTTCCAGCCTCTAGGGGGTTCAGTCAGTGGGGAACCTCAACTGCAGACCAGAATGAGGACACCAGTTTGGAATTTTAGTTCCCCACCTCCCTCCCCAGTATCATTGTGGGCTGGATGCATTTTTCAGCCTGAGATGGGAGCTCCTGTTAGGCAACCCTCTCTGCATATCTCTCTCGTTCTGTCTCTGGCTCTCTCTCCAGCTCTATTTCTGTCTGTGTATGTGTCTCTCTCTCTCTCCTCTGCAGATTCCAGCAGTGGCTCCTCTCCTCGCCCTTATTGGGCGATGGTGGTAAGAAAGAAAGACCCAACGGTAACAGCTCTGGGAAAATGCTAACCCATTTTCTTCTGGAGTTCTCTCAAGCCCTTATGTCAATTATCCCATGATAGGCAGACGCTACATAGCAACGTTTGGGTCAATGATGAATTGCGCATAGAACGGTGGTCTCCGGAGATGACAATATTGTATTTATGCTGTACCTTTTCTACGTTTAGATGTGTATAGATACACAAATACTTGTCGTGGTGTTAAAATTGCCTGCAGTATTCACACCATAACATGCACTGCAGGCTTGTAGCCTAGGGGCAGTCAACTCTACCATCCATCCTGGGTGTGTGTTGGGCTGTACCATCTGGGTTTTTGTAAGTGCTCTCTACAATGTTCCTATGGCGATAAAATCACCTAACGACACATTTCTCAAGACATATCCCTGTCGTTAAGCAATGCATGACTATACTAATCTCTCCTGCAGTTGCTCAGATGGGACGAGCCACCTGTTTGTGCGAGGACCTTGGCTGCTAGGCTGGAAGCCTCATACGTCTCAGTGCATCTTCCCCTCCAGGTAATGGTGATGCCCCAATACTTTTGGGTGGAGCACCCTGAAGTCTCTGCTACCATCCAAGCTGGTTTGGAGACATGAACCAGACCAATAAGGGGCAGGCTTTGGATGATCATTTTTTCATTAGGTTCCTCTCCTCCCCCACACTAGATCCCTGGGTGTCCTGCTGTCCCCTCACATGGAGAAACCTCAGCACTGGAAGAAAGGACAAGGTCTTTATTATTCAGATACATGCAGCCACTCCTCCAACGTCCCCTCTCCCATAGGACAAGTCCAGCTGCTCCAGGCTCTCCCCAGGGTCGCTATTAGGTGAGTAGACATGAATGATTGTGTGTGGGGAAGATAATTCATGGGCAGGATGGGAAAAGAATTTAGTGTCCAAGGCCATTAAGTTATGAGGTCAGAGGGACGGTTGAGTGTGGTGGTCAGCAGGGGTGAAGAATCGTGGGGGAAATGGAGTTAGCAGGAAGGGCAAAGAGCCCCCCACCAAAGCGCCAGGGCCAGTGCCAGCCCCACCCCCCAAGTGAGAGACTCCAGGCCCCCAGCCCCACCTCTCTCAGAATGAGGGGCAGGAGGCTCCTCTTCACCCTTCTCACGCACAGAGAAGATCCCGATTTGTCTGGTGTGGTTCAACAAGGAGCTGGAAGGTTGGGCCACACAGCCCTGAATGCCCATTGTGGTGGTTACCCCACCTAGAGGGAGAAGACCAAATCAGAAAGGACACAAAGTACAGCCCAGCCAAATTTGTGAACCCAGGAGTCCAGGCCCCAGACCCTTCTCCCTCAGACCCAGGAGTCCAAGCCCCAGTCCTCCCTCCTCAGATCAAGGAGCCTAGACCCCAAGGCCATCCTCCCTTAGACCTAGGAGTACAGGACCCGAGCCCCTCTTCCCTCAGACCCAAGAGCCCAGAGGCCCAGCTCCTCAGACCCAGGAGTCCAGGCCCCAGCCTCTCCTCCCTCAGAGCCAGGAGCCCAGGCCCCCACGCCCTCCTCCCTTAGACACAGGAGACCAGGCCCTGTGTCCCTCCTGCCTCAGACCCAGGAGCCCAGGCCCCCACCCCCTCCTCCCTCAGACCCAGGAGCCCAAGCCCCGAGTCCTTCCTCCCTCAGACCCAGGAGTTCAGGCCCTGAGTCCCTCCTCCCTCACACCCAGGAGCCCAGGCCCCCACCCCCTCCTCCCTCAGACCAGGAGTCCAGGCCCTGAGTCCCTCCTCCATCAGACCCAGGAGTCCAGGCCCTGAGTCCCTCCTCCCTCAGACCCAGGAGCCCAGGCCCCCACCCCCTCCTGCCTCAGACCCAGGAGTCCAGGCCTGGACCCCCTCCTCCCTCAGACCAGGAGTCCAGGCCCTGAGTCCCTCCTCCCTCAGACCCTGAAGCCCAGGCCCCCACCCCCTCCACCCTCAGACCCAGGAGTCCAGGCCTGGACCCCCTCCTCCCTCACACCAGGAATCCAGGCCCAGCCCCTCCTCCCTCAGACCCAGGAGCAGAGGCCCTGAGGCCCTCCTCCCTCAGACCCAGGAGTCCAGGCCCTGAGTCCCTCCTCCCTCAGACCCAGGAGCCCAAGCCCCCACCCCCTCCTCCCTTAGACCCAGAAGTCCAGGCCCCCACCCCCTCCTCCCTCAGACCCAAGAGCCCAGGCCCCGACCCCCTCCTCCCTCAGACCAGGAGTCCATGCCCAGCGCCTCCTCCCTCAGACCCAGGAGCGGAGGCCCTGAGTCCCTCCTCCCTCAGACCCAGGAGTCCAGGCCCCGACCCCCTCCTCCCTCAGACCAGGAATCCAGGCCCTGAGGCCCTCCTCCCTCAGACCCAGGAGCCCAGGCCCCCACCCCCTCCACCCTCAGACCCAGGAGTCCAGGCCCTGAGTCCCTCCTCCCTCAGACCCAGGAGCCCAAGCCCCCACCCCCTCCTCCCTCAGACCCAGGAGTCCAGGCCCCCACCCCCTCCTCCCTTAGACCCAGGAGTCCAGGCCCCCACCCCCTCCTCCCTCAGAACCAGGAGTCCAGGCCCCCACCCCCTCTTCCCTCAGACCCAGGAGCCCAGATCCCACCCCCTCCTCCCTTAGACCCAGGAGTCCAGGCCCTGAGTCCCTCCTCCCCCAGACCCAGGAGCGGAGGCCCTGAGTCCCTCCTCCCTCAGACCCAGGAGCCCAAGCCCCCACCCCCTCCACCCTCAGACCCAGGAGCACAGGCCCCCACCCCTCCTCCCTCAGAACCAGGAGTCCAGGCCCCGAGTCCCTCCTCCCTCAGACCAGGAGTCCAGGGCCAGCCCCTCCTCCCTTCGACCCAGGAGTCCAGGCCCTGAGTCCCTCCTCCCCCAGACCCAGGAGCGGAGGCCCTGAGTCCCTCCTCCCTCAGACCCAGGAGCCCAAGCCCCCACCCCCTCCACCCTCAGACCCAGGAGCACAGGCCCCCACCCCCTCCTCCCTCAGAACCAGGAGTCCAGGCCCCGAGTCCCTCCTCCCTCAGACCAGGAGTCCAGACCCAGCCCCTCCTCCCTCAGACCCAGGAGCCCACACCCCCACCCCTTCCTCCCTCAGACCCAGGAGTCCAGGCCCAGCCCCTCTTCCCTCAGACCCAGGAGTCCAGGCCCCCAGCCCCTCCTCCCTCAGACCAGGAGCCCAGGCCCCCACCCCCTCCTCCCTTAGACCCAGGAGTCCAGGCCCCCACCCCCTCCTGCCTCAGACCCAGGAGCCGAGGCTCCTACCCCCTCCTCCCTTAGACCCAGTAGTCTACGCCCTGAGTCCCTCCTCCCTCTGACACAGGAGCCCAGGCCCCCAGCCCCTCCTCCCTCAGACCCAGGAGTCCAGGCCCTGAGTCACTCCTCCCTCATACCCAGGAGCCCAGGCCCTGAGTCCTTCCTCCCTTAGACCCAGGAGCCCAGGCCCCCACCCCCTCCTCCCTCAGACCCAGGAGCCCACGCGCCAACCCCCTCCTCCCTCAGACCCAGGAGCCCACGCCCCCACCCCTTCCTCCCTCAGACCCAGGAGCCCACGCGCCCACCCCCTCCTCCCTCAGACCCAGGAGCCCACGCCCCCACCCCCTCCTCCCTCAGACCCAGGAGCCCAGGCCCCCACCCCCTCCTCCCTCAGACCCAGGAGTCCAGGCCCCCACCCCCTCCTCCCTCAGACCCAGGAGTCCAGGCCCCCATCCCCTCCTCCCTCAGACCCAGGAGTCCAGGCCCCCACCCCCCCCCCCCTCAGACCCCGGAGTCCAGGCCCCCAGCCCCTCCTCTCTCAGACCAGGAGTCCAGGCCCAGCCCCTCCTGCCTCAGACCCAGGAGTCCAGGCCCTGAGTCCCTCCTCCCTCAGACCCAGGAGCCCAGGCCCCCACCGCCTCCTCCCTCAGACCAGGAGTCCAGGCCCAGCCCCTCCTCCCTGAAACCCAAGAGCCCAGAGCCCCAGCTTCCTCCTCCCGCAGTCCCAGGAGCCCAGGACACCAGCACCTTCATCCTTGGGGCCCTGCTTGCAGCACTCACCTCCTGAGAGACTAATGTACCCATCATAACAATGAGTGGTGCCCCTGGGGCAGGTCTTTACTGGGGAGTCACTTGAGCAGGTTGCCAAGGGCTGCACACAGGTAAGACACTGCTGGTCTCCTGGCTCAGGGGCACCTGGGGAGCAGAGAGAAGGTGGGGGTACGTGACTTTGTGCTCAGAGCAGCTGCCCACCTTGGACCAGAGTGTCTGTGTGTCTGGGCCTCATTTCTCCATGGCCCTGGATCCCATACCTTGAGGAGGGAGGGAGTTCAGCAGGACGCTGCTGCTGCTGGCACCATTGCACAGGTCTGAGGAGCAGAAGTGGGCATAGGAGGCCACGAGCACCCCAGGAGGGGCTGAGTGGATGGAGGTCTTCTGGGAATTTTGAGCCCCAACAGCGCTGCAGCCTTTGCTCCACACCAGGGTCGATGTGCGTCCTAAGGGTGAGAGGGAAAGCTGGGCTGGGGGACTGGACAGCTCCCAGGGCAACAGGGGCTCCAGAACTGGACTCCCTGCCCTCCACAATACCCCTCAGGCAGAGGGTGAATGCCCTGATCACAACTGCATGGGTCATGTTTAGCATGGGGCAAAGACGGAGGCCAGGGCCTGGGTCCTCCCCGAAGCTCTGCCTCCTCCCAGTTCTCACTCAAACGTCACCTTCTCCATGAGTCTCCCCTGAACACTCAGCTTAATGTTGTAGCCTTCACCTCACTTTTCCTATCTCCTTTTCCTTGCCAGATTTCTCTCCAGAGCTGGGATCTCCATCGTATATAAAGCTGCAGGAATACAGATGGGATTGGATCTGCAGCGCCTAAGACAAATGCTGGATAAACATTTCCAGACTGTATGAAGCCACTGAGATTCCTCAGTGTTGGCACAGTTCTCCGCCCTGGGCAGGGATTACCGCATACATCATCACCCCACCCAGAAAGGCAGACACCGTCATTCTCACTGCTTCACCCCCAGTTTTCATAAGGGGAACCTAAGATCCAGAGAGAAGAATAGTTGAATTGAAAATTGCAGATGTGGAGGAAACGGAGCAGGAAATTCAGGGGAAAGAATCCAGTGGGGTGGAGGGAGCTGCCAGGGACCTGGGACAAGTGTTTGTCTTCTACCTCAGTCCACGCACCTACATCTATGAGCAGCAGCGTCTCCTGACACACCTGGCCCGCCTCGCACATCACGGTATTAGACACGGTCCATCCAATGGGTCCTTCTGCAAAGAGTTCCCCCGATGGCAGGTCAGAAAATCTGGGGAGAGGAAACCCAGGGTCTGTGTAAGCCAGGAACCGACCATGTCTGTCCCTCCAGGTCCTCAGCTAGGGAAGGTGATCTTGCTCTTGAGTCACACTCCAGGTGACCTGGCCACGGAGTCCCTCAACCACGGATTCAGAAAGGACTTGGGAGTCCAAACTCCGCCCTCATTGTTCCCCCTGTTTCTACTTGAACATCTGCAGGGACATCCTCTCACAGCCCTGTGGGAATGGTCATTCCTTGCCTCAGCTGTGAGAGCAATGGAAGCTCTTCCTTATCCTCTGCCCATCTCTCCTTCCCCATCTGAACTTTAAGGTCCTCATTTCAATAATAAGGAAGACAGCCTGAGACCTTTCTCATACCTTTCAGTTGCAAAGCCCTATGTTCCAAACAAAAGATGCAGAGGGCCAGGGTGGGCTGAGCACTGCCGCTGAGCACTGCCTCTGCACCTAGCTGACATCACTGCTTCCCACAGATCCACCTATCTAAGGTCCCAGGGAGCTCAGCTTATCTGGGATGCCTCGTTTCCCCACAGCACCCCAACAGTAGGTGGGGCGATCACAATCAGCACCCTCATTTGCAACAAGGGAAATAGGCAGGATTGCTCAGTAGCCGCCTGTGCCACACAGCTTGTGAGCAGCAGAGGTAGGCTGGGAACCCAGGGACTCTGGACCCTCAGGGTCGGGGTTGAGGGCAGGACAGAGACAGGTACTGATGACCATCCTCGGCTACCTTGGCCCCGAGGCCCTCAAGGCTCTAGTGTGAAACCACAGCCCCCGGCCTTCCCTCATGGCCATGACAGAGCAGGGGGCATCTGTCCCATGATGCGGGGACTCTTAGACTGAGCCTCCAGCTTCCACCAACACACGCGACCTGCAGAACGGATGCCACCCCGGAGGGCTGCTCATTTGCATGCTTCACAGATGACAAAATCAAAATCATGGCTCCTGCTCTCTTCGCCCACCCTTCTCTCCCCACTCCCATCTCCCCTACTTATACCTGTGGTGGCTCATCTCTGCCAGCCTAGCTGAAAAGGTTGGTGTTGTCCTTGACCACTCCCTTTCTCTCCCATGTTGTGTTCCTCAAGAAATTCTACTGGCTTGAGCTGCAGAAAATCTTCAAAACCCAACCTCACGTCACCACCTCTGCTGCTTCCACCCAGGCCAACCCCCCTTGGCTCCCACCTGACTCCCGGGGCTCTCCCTGTGCCTGCCTGCCCCTCTTCCCCTTGCTGCATTCTCCGCCCACCAGGCAGAGGGAGGCTGGGTAAACCTAAGTCAGTTCATGTCACTCCTCTGCTCCGAAGACTCCAGGAGTTCCCCATTCTGGAGAATAAAATTCTAAGCCCTTCCAATGGCCCGGGAGGCCTGATAAGATGCGGCCACCTCCCCGCTCCATGCAGGTGTCCTACTCCGCTCCCTCCATCACTCTGCTCTGCACAGGTGCTTCTGGCAGGCACTCACCCACCTCAAGGCCTTTGCATCTGCTTCCGCCCCCTGTCTGCAACCATCCCCTCCTCTTCCCCACATCCAGGGAAAGACGTTCCATGAGATATGGAGACTTCTGATCCTCATGTGAAGCTGAGGCTGGAAAGCTGTTTCAGCGGCAGAGCAGGGCCTGGGACCCACGTGTCCCTGATTCAGACGCGGGCTTTTCCCTGCTCTCTCACTGGGACCGCTGCCCAGCTCCTCTAGGGGCAGCCAGGGCCTTATCTGCCCAGGGCTTCTTGGTTCTTCACAAGGGGCTGCTGCCATGGCCCCTTTTAGTAACCTGTGTCCTTGCACCCAGCCCTCCCACTGCTGTGGCTTCTTATAAGTGGTTCTATCACCCTGGAGCCTCTTCTCTCCCACACTTGGTCCCTAACATCTTGTTGTTCCCCCAGTTTCTGATGCCTGGTCTTGTGATGCTCACTGTCTGCTAAGCTGCTGAACTGCACTTCACCAGGGAAGGCAAAACAGCCTCCAAGACCTGGCTTCAGTGTTGAAAGAATATGAATCTGTATTAACAGCACCGATTTGTACGTAATAGCTGTGTTTTATGTGGTGTGTGTGTGTTTGTGTAGTGTGTGCACACGGGGTGTGAGGGTGCATGCGTGATGTCTACAGATGTGTGTGCTGTGTGTGTGTAGTATACATGTGAGGGGTGTGGTTGTATGGGGTGTGTTCATGGTATTTTTGTGTGGTGCATGCATGTGCAGACATACTATGTGTGATGTATGTGGTATGTGTTTTTGTGTGTTTGGCATGGTGTGTGTTCTGTGTATCTGTTTTGTTTGCATGTGGTGTGTGTGTGTTTGTGTAGTGTGTGTGCATAAGGTATGGGGGTGCATGCATGATGTGTGCAGGGGTGTCTGGTATGTGTAAGTGTGTAGTACATGTGTGTGGGTGTGGTTGTATGGGGTGTGTGGTGTGTTCATGGTATGTTTGTGTGATGCATGCATGTATAGACATACTGTGTGTGATGTATGTGGTATGTGTTTTGTGTGTTTGGTGTGGTGTGTGTTCTGTGTATCTGTGTTTTGTTTGCATGTGGTGTGTGTGACATACCAGGTGTGTTGTGTGTATTGTGTGTTGTGTGTGGTCTGTGTTCCATGTCCGATACGTTGAGAGGGAGTGTGTGTGGTGCCTGACATGTAGTGTGGATGCCACATACACACTACATGTACACATAGTAATTGTGCAATTCTGTGATGCATTTGTGTGTGTTGTGCATATTGTAGGCTCTGTGTGTGATTTGTGTTTCATATGTGGTATGTCAGGGGTATGGGGGAGTGTGTGTGGTATGTGATGTGTGGTGTGTACGTGGCATGGTGTGATGCTTTGGTGTCTCCTGTGCTTATTGTGGGCTGCGTGTGTGGCATATGTTGCATCTGATTTGTTTCTGAAATGCCTTCTGGATTATCAGTGTCACCTGGTCCCAGAGACCAGGGCCAGACCGTTAACACCAGCATCAGTCAAAAGGAAAGATAAATGGCTCAGACCCTGCCCCTCCCTGCGCCACAATCTTAAATGGCTCCCCTGCCTTCAGGAGACGATCCACCCCTGAGTCTGGCTTTTCAGGTACTTGAGCAACAACCAGGTTCCCACTTACCTCTCCCGCCCCCACCAGTATCCATTCCAAAGGCATGCCAAGTCATTTCCTCCTCAGCCTCACACCTGCTGTGCCTCTGGCTTGGAGCAGCTCCCTCCTCGACCCCACACCCACCTTGTCCACCTGGAAAACTTCTAATCACCCCCAATCCCAGCTGTACCCCCTCATCTTGATGAGTCCTTCTCAGGTGGAGTGATGGACTCTTCTTGAAAACTGCAGGCTCACTCCCACCTCTAGGCCTATGCAGCTGCTACACACTGTTCCCTCTGCCACCAATGTCCTCTTCCTCTTCTACCAGTAAGCTGTAGGTCACCTTTAACACACAGTTCACAGGCCACCTCCTCTGTAAAGCCCTCCTTACTCTCTACCCCAACAACATCAGTTTCCTCCTCCTCTGAGCTGCCCGAGGCCCCACATCCCCATTTGCAACAGCCCTGACCACCTCAAGCTGTGACTATCTGTGTCTGTGGCACCTCCCCCTCCTAGTCCTGGAGGCCCTGCAGGTAGAAACAGGGTCTGACTCATTAGGGGGCTTTGCACATCTTCACTTGAGCAAACACCTCCTGGTACCCTTCCTGAGCCGGCTCCTGAGCTACCCAAGGCTGGAAACCCTGGTGCCAGTGATACCAAGTCCCTGGCCTCGGGCTCCCAGCCTAGCCAGGGAGAAACAGCCAAATACACAGAGGAAGGTGTGCGGAACTCACACAACTCCCTCTTCTAAACTCTAAGGGGTAGCTTGATGGGGGCAGACAAGGAAACAGAGGCACGGGTAGGGAAAGACTTTGCTCCTAGGAGGGAAGCTGGGATCCATATAAGACCCCGGCCTCCCCAGCATGGCTTCCCATTGCCTTGGAGCCCTTCTTATGGAGACATTCCCTGGCACTCTCTTCCATGGCAGTACCTAAATGGGGAAGGGTCTCAGTGTCCTCGTTTAACTCTTGCTTTCTCTGTCACACCTGAAGTGCCCTTGATTTTCTGATGTTCTCTCCTGTGCAGGCAAGGCTGCTGGGGCACTCCAGCACCATGGGCAGGACAGGGGCTGGTGAGAGTGGCAGAGAGGCTACGGTGGCCTAGGGAAGTGGGAGACCTAGGGTTATGCAAGGCCAGGGGTGTGGAGACAGAGAAATTGAAGCAACCAGTCACTCTCAGCAGCATGAGAGCCAGCAGGGGCCTCAGCACTCACTGTTGCCTAAAGTCTCATGCCAAGCAGCCCACCCTGCACCCTTGACCTTCCTCCTACTGGCTTTGGTGTGATGGCTCTGGATGCCGCATGTGGCATCGTGCCCGAGGCTGCAGTGCAGGGCACAGCCTAGGGGCGGGGCTCACCTTTCGTATTGCAGTTCTCAGTCATGCGCACGGGCCCAATTTCCTGTGTCCCGTTGAGCAGGTTGCAACCTGGCTGGGGCAAGCATCCCTGGACTCTCAGATTGGAGAAGATGCCTCCTGCAGAAAGGGGGAGCGAGGGAGAGTCAGTGATGCTGCCTGAGGACCACTCAACCCTCAGAGGCAGGCATAGCTCCAGGAAGCCAGGCCCACCCTCCTCTGGGTCTCATGCCTCGCCTCAGCTCACCCTCACTCCCCAGAGACTAAGATCTCAGTCCCCAGACCTTCGCGTTCAGTCCCCTCAGGGATCCCGATGTCCCAGGCTTACCTCCCCTGAGCCTGAGGAGGCCATTATAACAGTGCGTGGTCCCCTTGGGGCACATCTCTTCTGTCGTCCCCTCCGGACAGCCTTCCATAGACAAGCAGACTGGGCACCTCAAGGATCCTGGGTCTAGGGAAGTGACAGACAGAATGAGGGGGCACTGAGAGGGCACTGGATTTGATCAGATACCTTCTCTGCACCCCACTTTTGCTGGCCTCAGGAGTCAACCTGCTCAGTCTTCCCAAAGGGGCCTTCTGCAGCTCCCATCATGGGATCTGGATGTGGGAAAATAAAGTGTAACCAATGAAAGAGGAAGGGAGAGAGAACCGGAGGTCTGGATAGAGGCACCAGGACTGGGTACAGAAAGTAGTCTTGGCTGGGCGTGGTGGGTCTCGCCTGTAATCCAAGCACTAGGTGAGGCCGAGGCAGGCGGATCACGAGGTCAGGAGTTTAAGACGAGCCTGGCCAACATAGTAAAACCCTGTCTCTACTAAAAATAGAAAAATTAGTTGGGCGTGGTGGCTGGCGCCTCTAGTCCCAGCTACTTGGGAGGCTGACGCAGGAGAATCGCTTGAACCCGGGAATCGGAGGTTGCAGTGAGCCAAGATTGCACCGCTGCACTCCAGCCTGGTCAACACAGCGATACTATGAAAAAAAAAAAAGAAGAAGAAGAAAGAAGAAAGAAAAGAAAGCAGAAAGACAAGAAAGAAAGAGAGAGAAGAAAGAAAGAAAGAAAGAAAGAAAGAAAGAAAGAAAGAAAGAAAGAAAGAAAGAAAGAAAGAAAGAAAGAAAGAAAGAAAGGAAGGAAGGAAGAAAGGAAGAAAGGAAGGAAGAAAGGAAGAAAGGAAGAAAGAAAGAAAGAAGGAAAGAAAGAGAAAGAAAGGGAAAGAAAGAAACAAAGAAGAAAGAGAAAGAAAGAAAAGAAGGAAGGAAGGAAGGAAGGAAGGAAGGAAGGAAGGAAGGAAGGAAGGAAGGAAGGAAGGAAGGAAGGAGAAAGAACGAGTTCTTGGGGGGAAGCGGGGTGGAGGAGGGGCCTGCTGAGGCCTGATACAGACTCAGACATGGTCAAGTCTGAACCTTTCAACAAAGTCTGGCCTCCTAAGGGGAGACACAGAAGCAGACTCACTGGTCAAGGGAAGGAGGGGATGCCCTGGAACGAGCCAGTGCCTTCACCTGCAAGGGCTGCTAAACCTCCAAGAACAGGAGACTTCTGTGTTCACAAGCTATTCCAATAAAAGAAGTGCAAACATCTCCCCAGACTCTTTATAACACCAGACAAGGAAAGTGGAAAGTTTCAATTCAGTCTCCCTTAGGAAGAGGAAATAGCAAAAAACCTGCAGGAGAACTTCTTGAACCAAACGCAACAGAATAAAAAAAAAAAAAACAAAAAAATGAATGCAGGATGACCCAGTTAATGGTGATTTCATATCAGAAACCCGTCCTGTCTACTCTTAGAAGAGGAGGGGTGCGGGGAGTCCTGGGTGGCAGAGGTGGGTGGGAGGGATCAGGATGGAGTGGAGAGGGAGGGAAAGGGAAAAGGATGGGGGGGGTGGCCAGGGAGCAGTCAGGGGAGGGATGGAGCCAGCGAGGGGCAGGACAGCCAGCGAGGGTGGGAGGGACTCCATAACAGCCCCTCCGTGCTCACCGGAACCTCTCCTGACAGCCCCTCCCTCTCCTCCGACCCTCGGGCAGGCACCTGCTGGGGGCTGCGGGGTCCAAAGCGGGGCAGTGGTCACTAGGTTGTTGCAGAAGTCCTTGTGGCGGCACACATAGGTGTAGGAGAGCACGGAGAGGCCGGGGCCCATCCGGTGCTCAGTGACGCGGGGCTCCCGGTCCTTGGCCTCGGTGCAGCCCTTGGAGAGCACCAAGCTCACTTGGGGTCCTGGACCGAGAGAGGGAGGCAAGCGAGGATGGAGGTCAGGCCTCCAGGGTCCTGGAGGGAGACGCTGCTACATTGGGTAGGCTGAGAGGCTGGAAAGGGGATCACCGGGACCCTAGGAGTCTCTCCTCCCCGAGGGGTGGCTCCCAAGTCACTGCACAGGGATCAAGGGACTGAGGGAACAGGGCGGGGTCTCTCCACCCCAGGGCCTTCTCACCGCTCTCAATGAGCACCAACGTGTCCTGGCACCCCAAGCCGCTGTCACAGCTGATCTCCTTAGGGGTCCAGTGCACGGGTAGCTGGGACACATTCCACACCTCCTTAAGTGTCCCAAACTGGCAGAGCAGTTCCTGCACTCCTGGAGTGGCAAGAGCAAATCCATCTCAGCAGGGTTCCCTTGCCCGGCCTTCAGGGAGGTCCGCTCTAGGCTAGGGTCATCACTTACCTGGCAGTGGGAAGGTGACCCCCAGGAGGGCCAGCAGTAACACCGGGCTCATGACCCGTCTGTGGCTGGTAATCTCTTTCTGTTTTTTCACCAGGAAACAAGTCCTTTATACCAGCCCTTAAGCAGCCAGCCCAGGAAAGGGTGGGGAGGGGAGGGCCTTGCTAAATGGAGGTCTGGGCCCCACCCCAAGTCTCCACTGCCCCACCGGCCTATCAGGGACCCCCTTTCTCCCTCAGACCTTCGGGTCCAGGCCCGCAGTCCGTCCTCCCTCAGATGGAGGGTCCAGGACCCCCAGCCCCTCAGCTCCTCCTCCTTCAGACCCAGGGGTTCAGACCCAGTGGTCCAGATCCCCAGCCCCTCCTCCCTCAGACCCAGGAGTCCAGACCCCCAGTCCCTCCTCCCTCAGACCCAGAAGTCCAGGCCCCCAGGCCTTCCACGATTAGAAACTGTGGCATCTTGACCCTAGGGTCCCCCTGGTCCAGACTCCCAGCCCTCTTTCCTCCTCAGGCCAGCTGTGTGGATCGCCACCCCCACCCTGGTTCTCCAGTAGTTTGGGAAGGCAGTTTCCTCATTTCTCATGGGCTCCCTGGCCACCTCTGTACCCCAGATGGGGAAATGACCCAACTACCTCTGGGGACGCTGTGCAGTGGCCATCGGCTTGTCCCCATGTCTTTCAGCCTAGTTTCTACCCTCCACTGGCTTCCCACTTCTCTGTTTTTTCTCTTTCCTTCCCATATTGCTTTTCTTTTGATTCTCCTTTTCATGCTTTTCTCTCATGCTTTCTCTTCTATTCTCTACCCTCACAGTACAACATAGGACTCAAGTCCCCAATTTCCCACCATCAGGATAAGACTTGGCCAGAGGTGGAGTGCAGACTGAATATCTATGAAAGAATTAGGATATATTTGAAAAATGCAACATCTATTTGCTGGAAGCCAATGGCAGAGCAGTGGTGTGCTGAAAAACTTACAGAAAAACAATACCCACAAATTCTGCCTCGTAGTGTTGGCCTATTTCTCTGGTGTAAATACTCATAGCATGTCTGATTTTAAGCTACCAACAGTTTACCAACCGGGCTGATGAAATCCCTAGCTATTTAACCATTGCTCTTTCCAGAGCTGTACAAATCAGCTGTAACACACTGGGGAGGAGGAGGAAGACCTGAAGGAACCAGGGATATCTGTCAGTGACTACAGAGGGATGTTGGAGTGTCTGTGACGGAGAAGGGAGAAGCAGAAGAGGGAAGCAGAGAGCAGGAATAGCAGAGAAAGAGAAATGGATGTGACTTGCAATTATATGTTTATTTTTGACATCTCTACAAATTTTATCTTTATTTGTCTTTGCAAGGTTTATTGCAAGTTTAATATTTGCCACACAGACAGGGAAGTATTTGTTGTATCTCCTGCTATGTCTCCACCAACTACATGGCATATAGTACATGCTCAATAATTTATTTACTTTTTTTTATTTTTTTAGAAACAGAGTCTTGCTCTCACCTATGCTGGAGTACAGTGGTGCAATCATAGTTCACTGCAGCTCCCTACAGCCTCCATCTCCTGGACTCAAGCAACCCTCCCAACTCAGCCTCCCCAGTACCTGGGACTACAGGTGTACACCAGCATGTCTGGCTGATTTTTGTATGTTTGTAGAGATATGGTCTCACTATGTTGCCCAGGCTGGTCTTGAACTCCTGGGCTCAGGTTATCCTCCCTCCTTGGCCTCCCAAAGTGCTAGAAGTAGAAGCATGAGCCACCAAGCCCCAGCCTCAATAAACATTTATTGAATGAATGAATGCATGCATGAATGAAAAGGGGAACACAAGAGCAGAGCCCTCACTCCATTTGTACAGGTTGTGCACCCTAGAAATCTTGCCCCGTGTTGCATGTCTGATGTGTTGAGAGGGAGTGTATGTGGTGCCTGACATGTAGTGTGTATGCCACATACACACTACATGTACACAGAGTACTTGTGCAATTGTGTGATGCATTTGTGTGTGTTGTGCATATTGTACCCTCTGTGTGTGATTTGTGTTTCATATGTGGTATGTCAGGGGTATGGGGGAGTGTGTGTGTGGTATGTGATGTGTGGTGTGTATGTTGCATGGTGTGATGCATTGGTGTCTGCTTTGCTTATCGTGGGCTGTGTGTGGCATGTGTTGCATCTGATTTGTTTCTGAAATACCCTCTAGATTATCAGTGTCACCTGGTCCCAGAGACCAGGGCCAGACCGTTAACACCAGCATCAGTCAAAAGGAAAGATAAATGGCTCAGACCCTGCCCCTCCCTGCTCCCCTTCCATGGCTCCCCTGCCTTCAGGAGATGGTCCACCCCTGAGTCTGGCTTTTCAGGTATTTGAGCAACCACCAGGTTCCCACTTACCTCTCCCGCCCCCACCAGTATCCCTTCCAAAGGCATGCCAAGTCATTTCCTCCTCAGCCTCACATCTGCTGTGCCTTTGGCTTGGGGCAGCTCCCTCCTCGACCCCACACCCACCTTGTCCACCTGGAAAATTTCTAATCACCCCCAATCCCAGCTGTACCCCCTCATCTTGATGAGTCCTTCTCAGGTGGAGTGATGGACTCTTCTTGAAAACAGCAGGCTCACTCCCACCTCCAGGCCTATGCAGCTGCTACACACTGTTCCCTCTGCCACCAATGTCCTCTTCCTCTTCTACCAATAAGCTGTTCCCTCTGCCACCAATGTCCTCTTCCTCTTCTACCAATAAGCTTTAACACACAGTTCACAGGCCACCTCCTCTGTAAAGCCCTCCTTACTCTCTACCCCAACAACATCAGTTTCCTCCTCCTCTGAGCTGCCCGAGGCCCCATATCCCCATTTGCAACAGCCCTGACCACCTCAAGCTGTGACTATCTGTGTCTGTGGCACCTCCCCCTCCTAGTCCTGGAGGCCCTGCAGGTAGAAACAGGGTCTGACTCATTAGGGGGCTTTGCACGTCTTCACTTGAGCAAACACCTCCTGGTACCCTTCCTGAGCTGGCTCCTGAGCTACCCAAGGCTGGAAACCCTGGTGCCAGTGACACCAAGTCCCTGGCCTCGGGCTCCCAGCCTAGCCAGGGAGAAACAGCCAAATACACAGAGGAAGGTGTGCGGAACTCACACAACTCCCTCTTCTAAACTCTAAGGGGTAGCTTGATGGGGGCAGACAAGGAAACAGAGGCACGGGTAGGGAAAGACTTTCCTCCTAGGAGGGAAGCTGGGATCCATATAAGACCCCGGCCTCCCCAGCATGGCTTCCCATTGCCTTGGAGCCCTACTTATGGAGACATTCCCTGGCACTCTCTTCCATGGCAGTACCTAAATGGGGAAGGGGGGACCCTCTCAGTGTCCTCGTTTAACTCTTGCTTTCTCTGTCACACCTGAAGTGCCCTTGATTTTCTCTCTGATGTTCTCTCCTGTGCAGGCAAGGCTGCTGCGGCACTCCAGCACCATGGGCAGGACAGGGGCTGGTGAGGGTGGCAGAGAGGCTACGGTGGCCTAGGGAAGTGGGAGACCTAGGGTTATGCAAGGCCAGGGGTGTGGAGACAGAGAAATTGAAGCAACCAGTCACTCTCAGCAGCATGAGAGCCAGCAGGGGCCCCAGCACTCACTGTTGCCTAAAGTCTCATGCCAAGCAGCCCACCCTGCACCCTTGACCTTCCTCCTACTGGCTTTGGTGTGATGGCTCTGGATGCCGCATGTGGCATCGTGCCCGAGGCTGCAGTGCAGGGCACAGCCTAGGGGCGGGGCTCACCTTTCGTATTGCAGTTCTCAGTCATGCGCACGGGCCCAATTTCCTGTGTCCCGTTGAGCAGGTTGCAACCTGGCTGGGGCAAGCATCCCTGGACTCTCAGATTGGAGAAGATGCCTCCTGCAGAAAGGGGGAGCGAGGGAGAGTCAGTGATGCTGCCTGAGGACCACTCAACCCTCAGAGGCAGGCATAGCTCCAGGAAGCCAGGCCCACCCTCCTCTGGGTCTCATGCCTCGCCTCAGCTCACCCTCACTCCCCAGAGACTAAGATCTCAGTCCCCAGACCTTCGCGTTCAGTCCCCTCAGGGATCCCGATGTCCAGGCTTACCTCCCCTGAGCCTGAGGAGGCCATTATAACAGTGCGTGGTCCCCTTGGGGCACATCTCTTCTGTCGTCCCCTCCGGACAGCCTTCCATAGACAAGCAGACTGGGCACCTCAAGGATCCTGGGTCTAGGGAAGTGACAGACAGAATGAGGGGGCACTGAGAGGGCACTGGATTTGATCAGATACCTTCTCTGCACCCCACTTTTGCTGGCCTCAGGAGTCAACCTGCTCAGTCTTCCCAAAGGGGCCTTCTGCAGCTCCCATCATGGGATCTGGATGTGGGAAAATAAAGTGTAACCAATGAAAGAGGAAGGGAGAGAGAACCGGAGGTCTGGATAGAGGCACCAGGACTGGGTACAGAAAGTAGTCTTGGCTGGGCGTGGTGGGTCTCGCCTGTAATCCAAGCACTAGGTGAGGCCGAGGCAGGCGGATCACGAGGTCAGGAGTTTAAGACGAGCCTGGCCAACATAGTAAAACCCTGTCTCTACTAAAAATAGAAAAATTAGTTGGGCGTGGTGGCTGGCGCCTCTAGTCCCAGCTACTTGGGAGGCTGACGCAGGAGAATCGCTTGAACCCGGGAATCGGAGGTTGCAGTGAGCCAAGATTGCACCGCTGCACTCCAGCCTGGTCAACACAGCGAGACTATGAAAAAAAAAAAAAGAAGAAAGAAAGATAGAGAGAGAGAGAGGAGAGAAAGAAAGAAAGAAAGAAAGAAAGAAAGAAAGAAAGAAAGAAAGAAAGAAAGAAAGAAAGAAAGAAAGAAAGAAAGAAAGAAAGAAAGAAAGAGAAAGAGAGAGAGAGAGACAGAGAGAGAGAAGGGAGGGAGGGAGGGAGGGAGGAAGGGAGGGAGGGAGGGAGGGAGGAAGGGAGGGAGGGAGGGAGGGAAGGAAGGAAGGAAGGAAGGAAGGAAGGAAGGAAAGAGTTCTTGGGGGGACGCGGGGGTAGGCAGTGTGGAGGAGGGGCCTGCTGAGGCCTGATATAGACTCAGATATGGTCACGTCTGAAACATTCAACAAAGTCTGGCCTTCCGATGGGAGACACAGAAGCAGACTCATTGGTCAAGGGAAGGAGGGGATGCCCTGGAAGGAGCCAGTGCCTTCACCTGCAAGGGCTACTAAACCTCCAAGAACAGGAGACTTCTGTGTTCACAAGCTATTCCAATAAAAGAAGTGCAAACATCTCCCCAGACTCTTTATAACACCAGACAAGGAAAGTGGAAAGTGTCAATTCAGTCTCCCTTAGGAAGAGGAAATAGCAAAAAACCTGCAGGAGAACTTCTTGAACCAAACGCAACAGAATAAAAAAAAAACAAAAAAAGAATGCAGGATGACCCAGTTAATGGTGATTTCTTATCAGAAATCCGTCCTATTTGCTCTTAGAAGAGGAGGGTTGCGGGGAGTCCTGGGTGGCAGAGGTGGGTGGGAGGGATCAGGAGTGAGTGGAGAGGGAGGGAAAGGGAGCCGGGTGGGCTGGTGTCCAGGGAGCAGTCAGGGGAGGGATGGAGCCAGCGAGGGGCAGGACAGCCAGTGAGGGTGGGAGGGACTCCATAGCAGCCCCTCTGTGCTCAGTAGAACCCCTCCTGATAGCCCCTCCCTCTCCTCCAACCCTTAGGCAGGCACCTGCTGGGGGCTGCGGGGTCCAGAGCGGGGCAGTGGTGACTAGGTTGTTGCAGAAGTCTTTGTGGCGGCACACATAGGTGTAGGAGAGCACGGAGAGGCCGGGGCCCATCCGGTGCTCAGTGACGCGGGGCTCCTGGTCCTTGGCCTCTGTGCAGCCCTTGGAGAGCACGAAGCCCACTTGGGGTCCTGGACCGAGAGAGGGAGGCAAGCGAGGATGGAGGTCAGGCCTCCAGGGTCCTGGAGGGAGACGCTGCTACATTGGGTAGGCTGAGAGGCTGGAAAGGGGATCACCGGGACCCTAGGAGTCTCTCCTCCCCGAGGGGTGGCTCCCAAGTCACTGCACAGGGATCAAGGGACTGAGGGAACAGGGCGGGGTCTCTGCACCCCAGGGCCTTCTCACCGCTCTCAATGAGCACCAACGTGTCCTGGCACCCCAAGCCGCTGTCACAGCTGATCTCCTTAGGGGTCCAGTGCAGGGGCAACTGGGACACATTCCACACGTCGTAACCTGTCCCAAACTGGCAGAGCAGCGCCTGCACTCCTGGAGTGGCAAGAGCAAATCCATCTCAGCAGGGTTCCCTTGCCCAGCCTCCAGGGAAGTCCCCTCTAGGCTAGGGTCATCACTCACCTGGCAGTGGGAAGGTGACCCCCAGGAGGGCCAGCAGTAACACCGGGCTCATGACCCGTCTGTGGCTGGTAATCTCTTTCTGCTTTTTCAACAGGAAACAAGTCCTTTATACCAGCCCTTAAGCAGCCAGCCCAGGAAACGGTGGGGAGGGGAGGGCCTTGCCAAATGGAGGCCTGGGCCCCACCCCAAGTCTCGACTGCCCCACCGGCCTATCAGGGACCCCCTTTCTTCCTCAGACCTTGGGGTCCAGGCCCCCAGCTCATCCTCCCTCGGATGGAGGGTCCAGGACCCCCAGCCCCTCAGCCCCTCCTCCTTCAGACCCAGGAGTCCAGGCCCCCAGTCCCTCCTCCCTCAGACCCAGGAGTCCAGGCCCCCAGTCCCTCCTCCTTCAGACCCAGGAGTCCAGGCCCTCCGTCCCTCCTCCCTCAGACCCAGGAGTCCAGGACCCCAGTCCCTCCTCCCTCAGACCCAGGAGTCCCAATCCCCAGGCCCTCCACAATTAGAAACTATGGCATCTTGACCCTAGGGTCCCCCTGGTCCAGACTCCCAGCCCTCTTTCCTCCTGAGGCCAGCTGTGTGGATCGCCACCCCCACCCTGGTTCTCCAGTAGTTCGGGAAGGCAGTTTCCTCATTTCTCATGGGCTCCCTGGCCACGTCTGTACCCCAGATGAGGAAATGACCCAACTACGTCTGGGGACGCTGTGCAGTGGCCATAGGCTCGTCCCCCTGTCTTCTGGCTTAGTTTCTACCCTCCACTGGCTTCCCACTTCTCTGTTCTTTCTCTTTCCTTCCCATATTGCTTTTCTTTTGATTCTCCTTTTCATGCTTTTCTCTCATGCTTTCTCTTCTATTCTCTACCCTCACAGTACAACATAGTCCCCAATTTCCTACCATCAGGAAAGTCCCCAATTTCCTACCATCAGGAAAGACTTGGCCAGAGGTGGAGTGTAGACTGAATATCTATGAAAGAATTAGGATATATTTGAAAAATGCAACATCTATTTGCTGGAAGCCAATGGCAGAGCAGTGGTGTGCTGAAAAACTTACAGAAAAACAATACCCACAAATTCTGCCTCGTAGTGTTGGCCTATTTCTCTGGTGTAAATACTCATAGCATGTCTGATTTTAAGCTACCAACAGTTTACCAACCGGGCTGATGAAATCCCTAGCTATTTAACCATTGGCCTTTCCAGGGCTGTACAAATCAGCTGTAACACACTGGGGAGGAGGCAGACAGGAAGGAACCAGGGTTATCTGTCAGTGACTGCAGAGGGATGTTGGAGTGTCTGTGATGGAGAGAGGAGAAACAGAAGAGGGAAGGCGAGGGCAGGAATAGCAGAGAAAGAGAAATGAATGTAACTTGCAATTATATGTTTATTTTTGACATCTCTATAAATTTTATCTTTATTTGTCTTTGCAAGTTTATTGCAAGTTTAATATTTGCCACACAGACAGGGAAGTATTTGTCAAATCTCCTGCTATGTCTCCACCACCTACATGGCATATAGTACATGTCCAGTAATTTATTTTTTTTTTTTTTTAGAAACAGAGTCTTGCTTTCACCTATGCTGGAGTACAGTGGTGCAATCGTAGCTCACTGCAGCTCACTACAGCCTCCATCTTCTGGACTCAAGTAACCCTCCCAACTCAGCCTCCCCAGTACCTGGGACTACAGGTGCTCACCACCATGTCTATCCTCTATTTTTTGTATTTTTTGCAGAGATACGGTCTCATTATGTTGCCTAGGCTGGTCTTGAACTCCTGGGCTCAGGTTGTCCTCCCTCCTTGGCCTCCCAAAGTGCTGGAAGTAGAAGCATGAGCCACCAAGCCCCAGCCTCAATAAATATTTATTGAATGAATGAATGCATGAAAAGGGGAAGACAACAGCAGAGCCCTCACTCCATTTGTACAGGTTGTGCACCCTAGAAATCTTGCCCCCTCCCCAGCAATTCACATTGTCATTGTGTGGATGGTGCCCTGGAACTGTGCATGGCCTAAAGCAGTGTCCCTGATGGAAGAGGGAAGGGAAGGGTGGGCGAAGAGGCAAACAGAGTCATAGGTACTCAATTCAATGTGTTACTTTAACATACATGTGGTCAACAATCATATGAAAAAAAGCTCAACGCCACTGATCGTTAGAGAAATACAAATCAAAACCACGATGAAATACAGCCTCACACTAGTCGGAATGACTATTATTAAAAAGTCAAAAAGTTACGCATGCCGGGAGAAAAAGGAACACTTAGACATTGTTGCTGGAAGTGTATATTAGTTCATCCATTGTGGAAGACAGTGTGGCAATTCCTCAAAGACCTAAAAACAGAAATACCACTTGACCAAGCAATCTTATTAATGGGTATATACCCAAAGGAATATAAATCATTCTATTATAAAGATGCACGCATATGTATGTTCATTGCACCACTATTCACAATAGCAAAGACATGGAATCAATAGAAATGCCCATCAATGGCAGATTGGATAAAGAGAATGTGGTACATATACACCATGGAATACTATGCAGCCATAAAAAAGAATGAGATAATATACTTGGCAGGAACACGAATGGAGCTGGAAGCCATTGTCTTTTTCTGACTAACACAGCCACAGAAAACCAAATACCACATGTCCTTACTTATAAGTGGAAGCTAAATGATGAGAACACGTGGACACATAGAGGGGAACAACACACACTGAAGCCTATCAGAGGGTGGAGGGTGGGAGGAGGAGGAGGAGGGAGAGGATCAGGAAAAGTAACTACTGGGTACTAGGCTTAATACCTGAGGGATGAAATAATCTGTACAACAAACCCCCATGACACACGTTTGCCTATATATTAATAACAAACCTGCACACGTACTTCTGAACTAAAATAAAAGTTAAATTTTAAAGAAAGTCTTGCTTTAATCAACAAATATTTACTGAAGCTGGAATATGTGCTAGACACCATCCTAGTGGCTGGGGATACAGAGACGCAAAGAAGAAGGAGGCCGCTGCTATTGGTCAAGCTCACAGCCTATGAAGGGGCAGACTCTAAACCAACACAGAAGCATGAAAAATATTAGGTGGTTCAGGGTGCTGGGTAGAGAGTGAAAACCTGGTAAGGTGAAAGTAGACAACTGAACTGGCTGCTTTGGCTAGTAGGAAATCAGTGAGGGCCTTCCTGAGGAGGTGGCATTTAGCTGTGAGCAGAATGGGAAAAAAAAAAAAAGAGCCAGCCCTGGAAGGACAAGCAGAAAGAGCATTCCAGGCAGGGGAGGAGCAGGTGCAAAGGCCATGAGGTGAGATCCAGCTTGGTTTAGGTAAGAATTAGAAAGAGATGCCAGGCCTGGGCGTGGTGGCTCACACCTGTAATCCCAGCACTTTGTGAGGCTGAGGTGGGTGGATCACTTGAGCTCAGAAGCTCAAGACCAGCCTAGGCAACATGGTGAAACCCCATCTCTAACAAAAATACAAAAAATTAGTGAGGCATGGTGGCATGTGTCTGTAGTCCCAGCTACTCAGGAGGCTGAGGTGAGAGGATCACTTGAACCTGGGAGTCAGAGGTTGCAATGAGCCAAGATCGTACCACTGCGCTCCAGCCTGGGCAACATGGCAAAACCCCATCTCAAAAAAAAAAAAAAAAAAAACACCAGGTGTGGTGGTGCACGCCTGTAGTCCCAGCTACTCAGGAGTCTGAGATGGGAGGATCACCTGAGTCCAGGAGATCAAGGTTACAGTAAGCTGAAATTGCACCACTGCACTCTAGCCAGCAAGGAGCAAGACCCTGTCAAAAGAAAAAAAAGAAAAGAAAAGAGATAAGAAAAGAAAAGAAGGAAGAAAGGAAAGAAAGAGAGAAAGGGAGAGGGAGAGGAAGGAGGGAGAGGGGAGGGAGGGAGGGGGGGAGGGAGGGAGGGAGGGAGGGGGGGAGGGAGGGAGGGGGGCAGGGAGGGAGGGAGGGAGGGGGGGGAGGGAGGGGGGGAGGGAGGGAGGGAGGAAGGAAGGAAGGAAGGAAGGAAGGAAGGAAGGAAGGAAGGAAGGAAGGAAAGAAGGAAAGAAAGAAAGAAAGAAAGAAAGAAAGAAAGAAAGAAAGAAAGAAAGAAAGAAAGAAAGAAAGAAAGAAAGAAAGAAAGAAAGAAAGAAAGAAGAGAAGGAAAGAGAGAGAAAGAAAAAGAGAAAGCAAGCAAGCAAGCGAGCGGGCAGGTGGTGGCTGAACTGTAGTGGGTGAGAGGGAGGGTGACACAGAGTGACAGGAGACTGGAACAGAAAGGTCTGATCAGGCTGCTTGGCTCAACTCTCCTGCTTCTGTCTGTGTGACCTCTGGCCATTCACTCTCCTCTCTGAACTTCCTTGTGCTCTTCTGTAAACCGACACCATGGTCAACTGCACCCGATGGTTTGTGGTAAATATTAAGAGCCTTGTACCACTCAAAGTATGTTCTCAGCAAACAATGAACAGGGTGACCACTATGAACCCTCAATGCTTCAGGCTGTTGTCTGAGCGCTCATTCAGGCACGGCCACAACAGTGAGAGAGAGCCTATTTTTAAAATTTATTTTTTAAAATTATGTATTCGGGGGGTCCATTTGCAGGTTTATTACATGAGTATATTGCATCGTGCTGGATCCTCTATTGAACTCGAAACTCAAATAGTGAGCATAGCGTCCAATAGGTCGATTTTCAACCCTTGGCTTCCTCCTTCCCTCCCGCCTTTTGGAGTTCCCCATGTCTATTATTACCATTTTTATGTCCATGAGTATCTAAGGTATAGCTCCCACTTAAAAGTGAGAACATGCAGTATTTGAGTTTCTGTTTCTGCATTAATTCACTTAGGATTATGTCCTCCAGCTGCATTCATGTTGCTGCAAAAAGCATGATTTTATTTTATTTTTATGGCTGCATAGGACCCCGTGGTGTATCTGCACCACATTTTCTTTAGCCAATCTACCAGTGATGGATATTTCAGTGGATTCCATGGCTTTGCTGCTGTGAATAGTGCTGTCATAAACATATAAGTGCAGGTATCTTTTGATAAAACAATTTCTTGTTCTTTGGGTAGATTTCTAGGAGTGGGATTGCTGGGTCGAATGATAGTTCTATTTTTAGTTCTTTGAGAAAGAGAGAGCCCATTAACCCATTGGTGAAGAGACTGAGCCCTAGAGGGGCTAAACAACTGCCGGGCGCGGTGGCTCACGCCTGTAATCCCAGCACTTTGGGAGGCCAAGGCGGGCGGATCACGAGGTCAGGAGATCGAGACCATCCTGGCTAACACGGTGAAACCCCGTCTCTACTAAAAAATACAA